TTCTAGAGTCTGAGGAGGACGTTGCAAATTGAGCAATCTCCTACCCATCATATCCCACACGTGCTCAATTGGGGATAAGTCGGGAGATCTTGGTGGCCATGGTAACAATGTGACATCATTATGTTGAAAGAAGTCTATTGTGACTCTTGCAACATGTGGTCGGACATTATCTTGTTGGAAAGTTGGATCTGCCAGGGTGTCAAGATAGGGTAAAAGATGGGGTTCTACAACTTCGTGGATATAACGCTGCGCGTTCATGTTACCTCTGATGAAGATTAAAGGTGACCTGGAACCATAAGCTATAGCACCCCAAACCATAACTCCAACAGTGCGATGAACATGTTTTTCAACAAAAAACTGTGGATTCCTCCTTTCACCACGTCGCCTTCTAACCCTGGCATGACCATCGTGCATGCCTAAACAAAATCGAGACTCGTCACTAAAGACAATACTGTTCCATTCCTGATCCCAGAGTGACCGTTGTCTGCACCACTCAAGGCGATTACGTCGGTGTTCTCGAGTTAAAGGGAGGACCCAGTGTGGCCGGTATGAAAACAAGCCAAAACTTCTCATTCGTCGGTAAACACTTCGCATGCCAATAGATCTTCCGTGTTCTGCAAACCATTCATTTGCAATGGACCTGGTAGTGGAGAAACGGTCCCTTAAGGCCAATAATCTTAGGCGGCGATCTTCACGGTCTGTTGTTCTACGGCGGCGTCCAGTGCCCCTTGCTCTTTGCGTACGGCCTTCTCGAAGCCATGCCTGACAACACCTAACCACAGTGTCTACACTTCTTTGCACTCTAACTGCAATTGCCCGAAAAGAAAGTCCAGCTACCCGAAGTCCCACTATACGGCCCCTATCAAACTCACTAAGTTGATAGGCATCGTAACCGATCGTAAAGGATGTCAAGAACCAAAATCCGCCAACGTTGATTCTTTACTGCGGCTGAAATATTCATTTTTAGAGCGTTAGTGAATTAAAAAAAAGCAGTATAAAAACCGGAATGTCCAACTGATGAGGCTGAAAATTTTTTCAATTGTTATTTACAGTAAGATAAATACATTCACCAACTTTTATTAAAATAAAGCCATTTAAACTGGGTGTTCGGATTTATATGTCACTTAGTATAGTTCTCTGGGGCACTCCTGAATCAAGAATTGAAGCCCCATTCTTCATATTACTTCTATGGAGGTCGCGTAAACGCGAAATTCCAGTGTATTTGCCAAATATTATTTCTAGGTTAATCGTATTCAGCATCGCCAACTTTTTTGTAGCTGAGTTATGGGCATGACCTAGAAAGCATTCGTTTGCTTATGCGTTATGGATCATTCGAAATATATGTCACTTAGTATACATTTCACCGGTCAAATTTCCAGGTAAGAAAAAAGGACCAACTAAATGATCGCCAAAAATACCAGCCGAAACATTTAATTTTTGTGGCTGCTGTATATGAACCTCATGATAAATTCTGGGATTAGAATCGGACCAATATCGGCAGTTATGACGATTTACTACGCCATTTAAGAAAAAGGAACATTCGTCGGAAAAGCAAGTGTTGAATAGAAAATGTTCATCGTTTATAATTCGTTCACTCATATCTTCACAAAATTGTAATCGCCGATCAAAATCGTCTTCATTCAGTTCTTGTACCAGGTGAATTTTATACGGATGAAAACTATGGGCTTGTAAAATCCGTTGGACAGTACGTCGACTAACACCACACACAGTCTCCAATTTGCGGGTACTTAACGTAAGATCTACATAAACTTGCCCTAAAACCCCCACTTCTGTTGCTTCGTTCCTTATGAGATTTTCAATGTTGCGTTTTTTGTTGGCGACTGACCCAGTTTCCCGAAATTTACCTACAAGTTCTAGAACATATTTTCGATGCACGTTACTGTTCTCGTGTCGCTCATTAAATATTTCTGCTGTTCTATTAGCGCACCTGATTATTTCCGAAATATATTTCAACTCTTTCTGCTGTGGAATATACCATGGTTAATTTATGTATATAATAAAGCGTTACAAGTTATTTTAGCAACAAAGTTTGGTCAAATCAATCGCAAACTATGTACTAATATCCTCTTTAAAATAGCTACGAGATATTTCTTTATCTTTCATCAAGAAATAACTTTTTTGCCACATAAAAACGCTCCAATAGCTATTTTCAACAACAAAATGATAAACAAACCATGGGCGTAGTGAAGAAAAGCATTTACGTATTAAGTAAATTCTTTTAGTCATATTTCTTCTGAAAGTAGTACAAACTAATCTGATGTACCTATTAAAGTCTACTCTATCTTCAAAACTACTGAACTGAAGCTCATTTTACATCATTATAAAGGGAATTGAAAGACCTTTAAAATAGGGTATCACTCGACCCCCCTTTTCATTCAAGATTTTAGGGTTGGTGTCACCCCCGCCCCGAGGACTGCACGTGTTAACGTGATTTTTTGCCAAACTTGTGTCCCCCTCGAAAACAAAATCGACGGGTCTGATCGTTTTTCCAAAAAAAAAACTGAGCTGCCAGTAAATGCGTCTGTTTCGTTTTCGATGCGCCACCCTGTATAGTACGCTGAAGCTAGGCGGAATGTTCAGGAGAGATTCCTCTGACTTTTCGTCAAAGTAAGTCGCTGTTGATGACTATACATACTGAGTTTGAGCAAATCCAGGTGTACGATCATTCTGAGCTCAAAATGAAGTTACCAGGTAGTTTGAATCGCTGATTTTGAACCGGATCATGAAGAAGTCCTAGAAAGTCGTGAAGTCATATTTTAAGTAAAGGCTTTCGGAGGGACCGAGTTACTCAAAATCTCGGTGCACCATGAGAAGTTTCTCAACCCCAGATTTTCATTTCTGTTCCCTGTGACTATAAGAAAATGAAAATCGAGACATGAGGATAATTTGAGATGCTGGTTTCAGATATAGTCCTACTTTGTTTGTTTTAAGATTTATTTAACATGATTGCTATAATTACATTCTTCTAAAAAACTAAACAATTACATAACATACAGGTATTCAGAAAAAAAAACAAAATTTGCATCTCTAAGAATTTTCATTGTCAATGAAATATTCCTTTAATTTTCTTTTAAATATCTTCAAATTACAAGTAGAATTATTATTTAGTTTATTAAATTCAAGTAATCCTTTCTGAAATATTGATTTGCTAGTTATATTACTATTGCAATTTCGTAAATGGAAATCTATATTTTCTCTTGTAGAATAATTGTGGTAATGATTATTCAATTCTATGTAGTGTTCTAAATGTTCTGGCAAAAGATGATTTTTTATTTTAAATATAAAAATGATATGAATTTTTTTATATTCAACCACTGCAATTCTTGTAACATAGATTTTATTTTGGTGTACTTATTTTTATTCAATATTATTCTCATAGCTTTATTTTGCAAGACTTGTAATTTTGAGAATACAGCTTCATTGGCAATGAACAAGATAGTTGAAAAATATAGTAAATGCGGTAGAATGATTGCATTATAAACTATTGTCTTGGAATAGATACCAAGACTATGAGAATCCATATAAAAGTAATTTGTTTCTTTGGTAATTTTTGAAATAATGTATTCATATTGATCCTCAAACTTTAGTTTACTATCAATATATATACCTAAATATTTAATTGATTCACATTTTCAAGTATTTCTCCTTTTATCCTATCTATGATAGTATTTTCATTTAGGTATTTCCCTGCATACATTTTGTTTTAGAAGAATTCAATTTTAATTTATTTACATTTAACCAATTTATGATTTTTGCAAAGTCAGAATTAAGCATATTTAAAGCAGTGTCTATATTTTCATCTGATATGTATATTAATGTTTCATCTGCAAATATCTGAAGTTTACAATAATCTAAAATATTACAAATGTCATTAATGTATAAAATAAATAGTAGTGGACCTAGTTTACTACCTTGTGGTATACCAACAGAAATATTTTTTGATCTTGATAAAAAAAACTTTCATATCAAGTTTCTAGGTATTTATGAGACCTACAAAATGAGACCACACGTAAAAAGATCCGACTAATAGGAGAAATGTTATGGCCGAAAACGAGGCAAAATGCAGGTTAATGGTAATTTTTTCTAGTTTGAGAGATATTTGACAAGAAATTGCCATATTTATTAGATCCATTACTTCAAAAACGCGTTCTAGTTCCGCCTCGAATATTAAAATCGATCCATAGTTTAAATAGGTCTTTCGGTGCCTCTTGTCGACATCAGTCAAACGCCAACAACAAATCAACCTAAAAAGTGATTATCCTTGATAAACTCACTAAAACTTATCTATCATGTGTCTACACTTTTACTAAGCAACCAAGATCGTACACCTTGAAGGTTTTTTATGAAAATTTGAGACAAATTTATAGTCGCCAACAGTTTGACATTTTCTCTTTTTGAGACATATCGATAACATTGACGACAAATTTTGACTTACCCGTATCTAAAGAAATAAGCCAATAAAAACTCATAGTACGATAAAACAAAATTTAAAGCACACTGCTTTCAGAAAGCTCTAAAGCATTGAGTTCTTGACGATGTATACTTACTTCGATGACCTGAAAAGATGGAACTCAATCTTGCTGAAACGTTAGTGTATTAAAATTCATTTAAAGAAAATTTCATAACGGATCTTGAATATCAAAATATTACCAAACATTCCTAATAGTTGCGCTTAAATAGAAATATTTGATCAATATACCTTTTTAAGAAAGTTATATTCCATGGAAGTCCGGAAACTGGGGCAAGTTACTAAAAAATCCGAAGCTTTTGAAAATATTTTTAATTATTTTATATTTTTTAGGTGCTTAATAATAATTGTATATACTATTTTAAATCAATCGTTAGTGGTGAACCCTACAATATATTTGCAGTACCAAAAATCAAGTAAAAATTTCGACAGCAGGGAAAAGTTGTATTTTTGTTAGATGCTTCATATTTCACCAAAAGTTATTGGGATTAAAAACCTTCTCCAAGACTCTCAATAATTCATCACGTTACCAAAGTGATTAGTGGTTAGTCTATCAAAAGCAGCACTGTTAGCAACACTGCCGAATCCGCAGCAACACCTAGCAAGTTCATACCAGTCATCTTGGCAACGTCGCACTGCGGGACTTGGCAATCCTGTGCAAGGCTTGCGGGCTCAGTTGAACCGGCAATAACTTGCCGTCCAGACTTGCGCATGGAAAGTTCACTCTCTTTGGCAACGCTAAGTTGTACTAAATATGTACAGAATGTGTTTTTTCAGAAGAGAGAAGAAAAGTGATAGTATAGTGGAAACAGTGGAATGCTTGTGAGTTATGTTACAAATTATGTTCGCAGACGGATTGTTCTTGTTGGTATACGCGGACGTTTTCTGTGCTAAAACATGAACCAAACTGCACTGAAGTGAACAAGGTGTAACATTGACTTGAATAACAGGACAGGTCTATCAACACACTACGTGCAACGGCTAGCGACAACAAACTTTATCGAGTACAGTGCGAGAATAGCAATCGTTGGAAGACATGTTTTTTGCACAGCTTCAGTCAGTTACTTATTGGACAATTTAAAAAATAAACAAAATATGTATAACAGTATTTAAATGAAAATGGGTACATGGGATACACGAACGGCTAGGTTACTGAAGATGACCCTGGCGCCGGGGTCTTTGGGTCTAGAACTAGGCTTTGCTGTCTCTCCAGATGGAAATCTAATTTGGAGGGGAAAGGCCCTAGGAGAAGAATATAATGCTGTCGCGTACCAAAATCACGTAACATTTTTTTTACTATTTTGATAACTTACTAGTTTTTGAATTTCTCCTTGGCAATAGTAGGGTGCCTATTAATAGGCCAAACCGTTTTAATGATTCTCTTTTCTCAAATTTCACAGTTTATTGATTGTATAATTTCACACGTATTATACCTTTCTTTCTCAGCGATTCAATATTGTGTTGAAATCTTTTAGACACTAATGTTATAGTAATATTAACGACTATCTTCGAAATCTCCTCATAAAATATCGTTGAACCCTCGTAGAGTTGGTTCTGCCCATTGGCAGCGCCACCGTGTGATTTCCGTACGTACTAGCCATATAGGGATATTTGGTCCCATCAAGATATCTTATTCAAGGCCACTCATTTAACCTTCTTTTAAAAAGTTAGGTTTTCTGCGTCATTTTACTTTCCTGCGGAGTTTGCGGTGTGGGTGTCGTTTCATTAGTTTCCAAATTCTGGGATATCAGACTCCCAAACACCAATTTGTGGAGTAGTACCCTTTTATTTTATACCTTGCGTTTAGTTGTGTTAGTTTGGGTGCTACCCCGTCCATTTTCTAAGGAGCCCATGTGTGAGCAATGCGGGGTAGAGGAAGAGGCATCGGACCAGGTTCTTAGTCGCTGAGAGGATCTAAGCTTCTAAATGCGGACTATACTGGGGTTCAACACTTTGAATCCCCAGAATGTTAAGAAGCTATACTCAACTTTGCTAGAAGGGCGACGCTTGAAGCTTAGGGAATGTAGTGGTGGTTTATGGTGTCCGGTATGCCTCTAGTTTCCTTATTCATTCATTCAAACTTCTTTTGAGGTGGCAATCCTAAGATTGGAACCTAGTACTAGTATTTTACAGAATATGTGATATTTCCAATGATATACCATTTATCACTACATATACGATGATCTGTAGCATTTTAGCTTTCTTCCTCTTAGACATATTTTTGTATTTATTAAAAAAAGATTCTTCAAAATGTTAATCCTCCAAAGACGTTTCCTCTCTTCTTTCATAGCAAAATTCCTATGCCTCACCCCCAATTTCTTAACAAAAGTAGATGCAAAGATAGTATTACTTATCAATGCCTTCAAATTCATGTATCCTAAATGATTTATTTTTTTAAACAAACTGACAGCTTCGGGGGATGAAACTTTATATATTATGAGAAGAAATAGCGATATACCAACAAAGAACAATCCAAAAATGTGCAAATTGTAAACGTGTGGAATGCTTACCTTGGTAGCGCATTCGAAACATGTAGTAACGACCTTAGAAATAACGTTCATAAGATTCTTAGTTTCTTGGATGACGTTGTCCACCTTCGTGAAAGTGGCAGCCTTGCCTACCGTGTGATCCTTCACGGTGAACTGCAGCCGTTGGACATACGTTGGCACTTTGTCCAGGTTGGCCAGGAGCTCCTTTTTAGGGGCTCCCCCAGGCACCTATATAATATACAAATAAATAAACTTTTTATAGTGTTAGTGCCCTAGTCGGAAACAAAAAAAATCGTGAAGTGGATGATCTTGACAATGCTAACGTTTATGGGTCTTTGATGATATCACTGTATCATAAATAATAATAATAATAATAATAATATTTATTCACTCAATGTACAAAGACAACAAACAACATGAGTAAATAAATATGAAATCAAAACAGACCCAATAGAAGGCATTGATTGTACATGGACCAATAATTTTAAGTTGCAACTGTAGAATGCAAATGACAAAAAAAGGACAAAAATTAGCTACAGTAGAGATTATGTATTTACTTGATGTTCGTATTTATGAGTTATGAATCTCAGTCCTAGATATAGAATGTAGCCACTTTTTTAAATTTCTTTAGAAACAATTTCCGAAACGTAAATCTTTTAAGTCTTTAGGTATAATTTTGTAAAATTTTGGAGCCAAATAGAGATATGACCGCTGCATTATAGATTTATGCGGCTGAGGTACTACTGTGCCACGAATTTTGTACCTTGTGTAATGATTATGTTTAATTTTTTGGTCCGTGTTTACAAATTTATGGGTGAGTGATACTGTGTAAGAAATAAAGCTGTCTTATATCATACATTCGAACATCTGCGTATAATTTTTCAGTGGGATAAAGTTTCGGTTTTTTAAATATCATTTTTAGAATACTTTTTTGAAAAACATTTAAATTATAGATATGTGTGGGACATGCATCTCCCCAAACTAATATACCATATGTGAGATGAGGCTCAATCAGTGCATGGTATAATGTTCGAAGATATTTTTTTGTCAATATATTCCCAAGGTATTTAATTTTGTAGGATACATATCTAACTTTCTTTAAAAGATAATTGACATGGATGTCCCAACGTAAGTGAGGATCCAAGACCACTCCAAGGTATTTTATGTTGGGCACTCTATTAATTTGTATTTTTTGATCATTAATATTCAAGGAGAAACTTGTGTACTTTGGCAGATGTCTAGCATAAGATCTAAATGGTAAAAAATATGTTTTAGAATAGTTAATGCTTAATTTCTACTATTAAACCACCGAAGAATTTTGATAAAATCATTTTCAATTATATTTTTCAAATCATATAATATTGCAGTATCATCCTCAAAACTGGTAATTTTGCCAACACAGTTAATTTGGAAAATATCATTTAAATATATATTGAATAACAGTGGACCTAAGACAGTTCCTTGTGGGACACCACACTTAATATACATTTCTTTACTAAATGATCCTGATATCTGCACAGATTGTGGGCGTTTTGACAGATAATTTTCGATCAGTGAGCACGCGTTTCCTCTGAAACCAATTCTCTAAAATGCTTCTAATAATAATTTGTGAGTAACTGTATCGAAAGCTTTCTATAAGTCAACAAAAATGCAGATTGAAGGGATTTTGTTATCAATATTTTGATGTATGTATTTGATTTACAATTTTAGCTATTGCGTCCGATGTAGCCTTCCCTTCTGTAAATCCGTATTGATAAATAATATTTAATATACGAGTATACATGATGATTCATGAAAAATTTGGTATGTGGATTTACCTAAGTATTGTCCACATTCAAAAATATTTACTTAAAATTAACGTGCAGCAGTGGCGGGGATAAGGGGATTAATGACTTTATTTTTCCAAATAAACATAGTACGCCACTATATTTTTTTCGAAACGCGCAATTTTTCGAATTTTACCTTTAATTTGCTACAAATAATCTACTAATCCCCTGTATCTCCGTCACTAGTTTTAGTTCATTTCAGTTGACGGTTTTGAAGATATTAAAAAAATTTATTTTTATTTTTAAACTTCAACACCCCGTATCTTTTTAATGAAATGTTACATAGAAGACACCCCTTAGAGTGCGGTCCTGTGTGATGTTTCATTTTTGGTCACGACTTGTGAATCACCCAGTATAGTAATAGTTTATTGTTCTTCTGGAGAAATATAACGTTTAAAACTCATCCACGGTGTAGATAAAATTGTAAATATAAAAAACAAACATACGCAAATAATTAAACGTTAAAATTCCGAGATGGCTTAATAACAATTTTGTAAAAGTAACTAAAGCTTCATTTCAAAAGAGCTTATACGTTTGGCCTGCTATTAAAATCATATGTCCAAAATACAAAATTCTCAGGAAACAGAAAAAACGACTTATTTCAAAGGTAATAATTTTCTTCAAGACTTTTTTGCTGATTCCTATTAATAATAGCTTAAAAAATATGCTCTTCACTAAAAAAATATGTGTGCTTAAGTACTCAAAAGCATCCTTTTTTGTACTAGATGGTGCCACTAGCTCAATTTCGATAAATTTGGACGGTTTTTATAAAATACGCATCAATTGTTCAAATGGTCATGTATTTAATCAATGAACATCTTTATTTTTTTAAGTTTTTTGAGTTCACATACGTTAACACATCAAATTCATTATATGTTTCAAGTAGTTTCCTACAAATCTGCATACTACTTACTTTAGCATTGCTGCTGATCAGTATTTTCCGGCATATAAATACATACAGGGTGGCCCATCAATGTGTCGACGGAATATTACTCATAAACAAATACATTTTGGGAAAATCTATTTATGGCATTTGAGGGCACATTTCTAAAATATTGGCCATTATACATATAAAAGTTGTGATTTTTCAAATGTAATGCCTCAAAATTTTATTGCGTATTTGCATAAACCAATCCAAAAGAAGAAAATTGGTATAACATACTATGGCGTTTTTTTAATTAGCTACTGAGATATGTATAAGGTGTTTTGTCTAGAAAACCCCCCCACTTCGGCAACCCCTCAGTCCGCCATTTTGGAATTTGGAGTGCTGAATCAAAAAAACTTACACACCTCGGCTTTTATCTTATTTGTTATTTTTTCAAATTTTAATTTTTGCTCATACAGGGTGGTCAAAAACACAAATTGTAGTTTTTCTCAAGAATTTCAATATGGAAGCCCACCGTTTGTCTTTTGTTTCCATGGATGATTTGATTTTTTACTTTATTTTGGTGTGTTGTTCTATTAAAAGCTTAATAACTCAAAATCTAGTGATTTTATCTGAATCAAACATCATACCAAAAAAAGGCTTATAAAAAATTGAATCCAAACTTTCACAAATATACACTGTGATGCATTTTGAGAAAAAGTACAATTCGCGTTGTTGACCACCCTGTATGAGCAAAAATAAAAATTCGGAAAAGTAACAAATAAAATGAAAGCTGAGGTGTTTCCCTTTTTTTTTTTTTGATACAAAATTCAGCACTCCAGGTTTCAAAATGGGGGATTGAGAGGTTGCCGAAGTGGACGGTTTTTTTGGACAAAACACCTTACCTCTCAGTAGCTAATTATCAAAACCCCATAGTATGTTATATCGATCTTCTTCTTTTGAATTGGTTTCTCCAAATATACAATATTTGAGGCATTCCATCTAAAAAATCACAGCTTTGACATGTAGGTCAAAATTGGGACACCCTGTATAATTTCCAATATTTTATAAATGTGCCCTCAAACGTCGTGTATAATATAGATTTTACCAAAATGTATTTGTTTATGAGTAATATTTCGTCCGCACATGAATGGGCCACCCTGTATGTATCATTGCACTTGATTAACCCCAGAAGCAAAGGCCTTACTTTGGTCTTTATTCAACATGTGCATATTTTAAAGACTGATTTCATATATGAAGAATTTGCTGAAAAAAACATGGCATCTAACAGAAGCTACAAAAACTAAACTGGTCAAGCTCGGATCGAGTGCGAATTATCTTGAGGCTGCTAATCTTTATGAGTTTTCAGTAATATCACTGTAATATTTTTAGTTTATCATACGAGTTCTCAATCTTCCAACTTGGAATTTATATTTTTTTCGTTCGTTTAAGGTACTTTAAGCTGCTTACCTGGTAACTAAACTGCCTTATGACTTTATATAGCCTATTTGCTTCCTCAGCGAAATATTCCGCTTGAGTAAAGAGATCCTGAGTAGTCTTCAATTCGCCTTCTCCTTTCGTAAACTGGTACATCGAAAATGCCATCGCTGACATGTTTTTCGCCCTTTTCACAATGTCATTATTTTCCTGAAAATAAAACATTGCCGGCAATCAAATATAAAATTCGTTCCAGCATAAAGTTCGTAAAGTTATTTTGCGTAAATCGAAATTACCTCATTTACTTCCAATTGAGCATTGCTGTTACTTTCCTGCCACTTATCTGTCTCTGCATCCATTTCGCTGGTGATGAGTTTCATTTCTAGTCCAGATTTTGCTATCTTCTCTTGCTCTTCCGTATCCAGTCTGACTGCTTTCAAAGGCTTGGATGTCGTACCGTGTTTCTAGGATGATAAAGATTCCTTTTAGAAGGATTTTTCTAAATATGAGAAAATATGTAGGAGTGGTGGATTTAACGGCAAAAATCTACAGAATATTCAAAAACTATGGATACATAAAAATATCTCGAAAAATATTGGAGAAAAAAAATTGTGAGGTTCAAAAAAAATTATCCGCTGATGATCTTCAGCGTGATCTTGATTATGACATTCAAGGTCATTTGAAGGTCAAGACAGTTCTATTAAATGAAACCCCTATTTTTGACAGCGGAAATGTAAAGAGCTGAAAATTGTACTTTGAATATGCCTTTGCCAATAACCTTGACAAAATATGTCGAAAAATACCTTTAATAAAAAAAATGTGTCATGGCGACCTTGAAAGTCACCTTGGCCACCACCTTCAAGCTGATTGGAAGGTCTAGACAGGGGAAAGGAAAACCCTATTTTGACACCGGGAATAAAAAGAGCAAGAAATTTATGTTCGTATGCCAACCTCCTTCAGACTAATGCGAAACTAGTGGTCCATGCTATGATATACGTAGAGCCGCCGGTTTTGCCTAGTTAATAATAAAATTGTCTGAAAGTTCTTCTTACCTCGGGCCTAGGCAGTTTAATTAAATGAAACCCCTATTTTTTACATAGGAAATGAAGAGCAGCAAACTTTACGTTGAATATGCCTTTGTCCATGACCTTTAAAAGTATATCGAAAAAAAGGTTCAATAAAGAAAATGTTGTGTGTAATAGAGTTGTATGACTTTAAAAGATTCATCTTATGGTTACCTTGAACGTGACCTTGGCCACGACCTTTAAGCTTATTTGAAGGTGAAGACAGTTAATCGAAAATCCCTATTTTGACACAGGAAATAAAAAAACAAATAAACTTTATATTCCAGTATGTCCATGGCCCTCAAGGTCATTTGAAGATCAAACGAATTTTTAACGGTATACATCTATTTTTAATTTCTGAAATGCAAAGTTCAAGTAGATCCTTGCCAATAAATCTGACCACGACCCTCAAGGTCATTTTATGATCAGATAAATCTTCAAATGAACTCCTTACTTTTGTCACAGATACAAAGAGACGAAGTATTGAAATTAATTTATTATTGCATAAAAATGTTCAATAAAAAATGTTCATTGCCAAATTAGCTATTGCTTTTCTTTCTCCGAATCGAATCTCCTTCAGACTAATGCGAAACTAGTGGTCTATCCTTTGATATACAAGGAGCCGCGGGTTTTGTCTAGTTAATAATAAAATTTTCTGAAAGTTCTTAGCCCCGGGCCTAGGCAACTTTATTGAACGAAACCAGTAATTTGACACAGTAAATGTAAAGAGCAGCAAACTTTACGTTGAAATGCCTTTGTCCATGACCTTGAGAAATATATCGAAAAAAACGTTCAATAAAGAAAATGTTGTGTTGTGTAATAGAGTTGTATGACTAAAATATTCATCTAATGGTTACTATGTACGTGGCCTTGGCCACGACCTTTAACCTTATTTAAGGGTCAATACTGTCAATGGGAAATCCCTATTTTGACACAGGGAATAAAAAGAGAAAGAAACTTTATGTTCACGTATGTCCATGACCTGGACTAAGACCATCAAGGTCATCTGAAGATCAAACAAATTTTTAACGGTACACATCTATTTTTAATTTCTGAAATGCAAAGTTCAAGTAGATCCTTGCCAATAAATCTGACTATGACCTTCAAGGTCATTTTAAAATGAGATAAATATTCGAATGAACTACTTACTTTTTGTCGAGGATACAAAGAGACGAAGCATTGAAATCAATCCATTATTGCATAACAATGTTGGATAAAAAATGTTCATTGCCAAAGTAACTATTGCTTTTCTTTCTCCGAAGCTAATCTCCTTCAGACTAATGCGAAACTAGTGGCCTATACTTTGCTATACGTGGAGCCGCGGCTTTTAATAAAATTGTCTGCAAGTTCTTCTTGCTCAGGGCGTAGTCAGTTTTATTATGTTGAATATGCCTTTGTCCATGACCTTGACAAAATCTATCGAAAAATATGTTTAATAAAGAAAATGTTGGGTAATAGAGTTGTATGACTTTAATTCATCTAATGTTTACCTTGAACGTGACCTTCGCTACGACCTTCAAGCTTATTTGATGGTCAAGACAGTAAATTGGAAATCCCTATTTTGACACAGGAAATAAAAAGAGAAAGAAACTTTATGTTCAAGTATGTCGATGACCTTGACTAAGACCATCAAGGTCATGTAATGAGCGTTTACCGGTAGACATCTATTTTTTATTCTTGAAATGCAAAATGCAGACAATTTTAAGTTCAAGTTGATCCTTGCCTTGACCGTGATCGTTAGGTTCAGTTTAAGACGAGATAAATTTTCAAATAAACTTCTTAGTGTTTGTCGAGAATACCAAGAAACAAAGCATTGGAATTGATTTTACCTTGTTGAATTTCCTTCTCGAAACGGATTGACTTATACTTAATTTGCGGGTTTAGTGTAGTGAATAACAAAACTGTCTAAAAGTTCTTCTTACCCCGGGCCTAGGCAGTGACATATACACCTGTTTCTCAGGCCTGCTAGCTTGGCTGGCTTCAAGGACATCTCTCACGACATTGGTGACGTCTTGCACTAACCATTGATGCATGTCTGCAAAAACTTCTAGATTTTCTCTCCCGATCTTGCTTGAGGGATGAGCAGCCAAACATTTCGCTGCGGTTACCACTTGAGGACCATACACACGCAGATTAATCTCGGTGAACTTCGCTGACACCTGCAGGGTTTCAGAGACCGCCACGTGTCGGAGAAGTTTGCATACCTAAAAAATAGAATTAGATACGACACAAATACATAAATATAAATATACAGGGTGTTCCTTAATGATATACGAATATTTAAGGGTGTGAATCTACTTGAAACATTAATTTTAATTTGCTTTATAAACTATGGTCCAAGTCAATAAAAAATATTTTTGCATTGAAAAATATGCAACTTTATTAACTTTCAGTACGTAATAAACGAAAATATTAATTAATTTCCATTTTTTTCCTAAAACTTCAACACCCCGAGTTTTTGTAAGGAAACATTTTTTTATAAAGCAAACTAACATTAATTTTTCATGTAGATTCACACCCTTAAATATTCGCATATCATTAAGGAACACCCTGTATAATATCGGGCATTTTAGTTGCTAAAGCAGCGTTGCCAGGTGGGTAATAATGAATAGGCACAAAAATCCTCCAGAGGTGCAACTTTCACAAGAATATCTCCCTAGCCAAAATTCATTAAAGGGGGTTGCATTTATCTTAAATAGAGAGGGGAGCTTTTTGTCCGGGAAACGTGTAATTTATAACTTTATGACATTACAGAGAAATGTGAAAGACGGTGAGAGAATGACCTTGACAACAAAATTCACCACTGGAAGCCGAAATCTCCACAACCCGGCAATGCCAGCACTGGGTGTGAAATTGCGTCACTAGCACAGACCGCTGAACTTTTACACGAGAGCACGGGAAATAGCACAAAGTCACGTACGGCTTTCGTATTTAACGTCGACGGAAATTGCAAAAAATTATGAGTTTTAACATCACAACGACAATCCTGGCAATGACCTTTAAAGAGATGGAGAATAGAATACGATCCTCCCCCACAGAACCGTTAGGCAAGAGAAGTGTTTTGCGATAAAAATAAAATTCAATATTTTTAAGAACTGGTACAAAACTATAATTCTAAATAAGAAAAACGTTGCAATAATTTACTTCATCAAGATATAGTTAATTTTCAATCGACCATAAAAAGAAACTGTAACAACCTTACCTCAAGAACATGATCAATAGAATCGTGGAACGCATTAGAGGTGTGGTGCAACCGTTCTACATCTGACATAACTGCCTGTTGCCTGATGGCTGCAACAAGCTCCAAGCCTTGTTTCGTGGCAGTCGAAAGCTCCTGGGCTTGTTGGATAGCTGCGTTCGCTAGATGGCGCGACAGGTCGCGCGCAGAATTTATACACGTTTGCACCGCCGAGTCCAGTTCTGGACAGGTGGATACGTTCTCAAAACCATCCTGTAATTTGAAAATATCCAATAATAATAATAATATTTATGAGAACAAGATCACATTCAGACTTTGTTGATAACAACCTGTTACGTAGTATTCCGTAACATATTGTTATTGAATGAATATAAAAAGCTACTTCTGGGTACGGAATAACAATCAAGCAATGTCATTGGAAACACTGTTATGGATGATTCTGATCATGAGGCGAACTTTGCAATATATTATTAGAATGTTAGGGGTTTAAGGACAAAAACAAATGTACTTCGGAATACAACTTATACGTGTACATATGGTATACTTGATCTGAGTGAGACTTGGCTGGACAGTTTATGATGCTGAACTTATATGCCCAGAGTATAATGTTTTTAGATGTGATCGAGACTTTGAAACCACCGATGCCATCAGAGGTGGAGGTGTGTTATTAGCCACCCGGAAGGCGTATAAAGTGAAAGTCTGGATTTCAACTTTACAAGCTCACTTTCTGCAATTGATATCGTTGTGGTCAAAGTTCACTTGCCTCGGTCTGTCGTTTCCATTACCCTTCTTTATATGCCACCTAACTTGTCAGTTGCTACATACGAATATCTGATAGAACAACTGTTTTCGTTGGACTTTCTCAATATACCGTCATACATGAATTACATCAAGGATAACAATTACGGCAATACGTATATATCGGCACTCAATAATCTGATCAATTTTCTGAATATGTCTCAACACAACTGTGTCCAAAACTCAAACAACCGGATTCTAGATTTAGTATTCAGTAAAAATGCGTTGAAGGTGAACTTGGCTTCAGATATTTTGCTTCCAGTTGATAGCTATCATCCTCCGCTTGATATATTTTTTCTATGGAAGGTAAATCGGCAATTTTGACGTTAATGCAAGTAATGAATACAATTATAGAAGAGCTAACATGCACACATTGTATAACGATATCGCTGCTCTAGACTTCACTCCTCTATATTTCCTTAGTAACATTACCGTAGCGTGTGATCAGTTCTATGAAATACTATTCTCGGCAATCACTCGGAATGTACCCCGAACACTGCCAACGAACACTTTTTACCCTGCTTGGTTCAACAATACTATTATTTATAAAATCAAGAAAAAGCGAATATTATGGAAACAGTGTAAAAGAACTTGTAATCCTGTTGACTGTGACGCTTTTCGAAATCTTCGAAGAAACATAACAATTAGCATTGATATTGCATTTCAAAGGTATACCGCTAAAATTGAACAGGGCATAGCTAGTAACCCTCAAAGATTTTGGTATTTTATTATATACTTCTCATATCCCTGATACCATGATTTTTGATAAAACTCAACTTAACAAACCCCAAGATATTGTCAACGCTTTTGCAGATTTTTTCCAGTCCGCACACTCACCTTCCACAAACTTTACACCCGCAAACTCACCTGACTGCGCCTCATTACCATTGAATATACCAATAAACACTGATCAACAGCCAAAACATATCCTAAATAAAATCAACAAAATATTACTATTTTTAATGTGCTAAAACCGGAATGAAACTTATTTTTTCATTATTAGTTCAAGTTTTAGAGATACGGTAATTATATGCGTTCCTGCTGCGACAGTATTAATATACTGTAATTCACAAGAATGCACGTGCTACATTTTTATATTCGGCAAGGAAAGATGATGTAATCAGCATGATTGTGTTACGTTATACATACGTGTACATTATATTGTTTTATATTAGCCATTTTTTCCTCAGTTGGCTGGCAGCGTTCATGCAAGATGTCTCGAAAGTGTGTAAACAATCCAGATCAGTTTTGTTACGTGTGTGGTGATGTGACTTTTGCGTCTCAGAGACGGTCTATTACTCCACTAATAACAAAGGCATATCAGCTTTATTTCGGTTGTAAACTAGGTGATCAAGACAAACAGTGGGCACCCCACATCTGCTGTAATACATGTGCTTCAAGTCTGAGGAGCTGGTTAAATGGCAAAAAACGGTCTATGCGCTTTGCTGTCCCAATGGTTTGGAGAGAGCCTACAAATCATATTAATGATTGTTACTTTTGCATGGTACCTTGTGTTGGACAAGCCACAGGTGTGTCCAAGAAAAAAAAGTCGGTTATTAACTACCCAAACATACCATCTGCGATGAGACCTGTGCCTCACAGTGACGAAAATCCTATTCCAAAACCCCCAGAATCCTACACTTGCGAATCAGAAAACGAATCAGATCATGGCGATCGAGTGATTCGTCAGGAAGAAGATATGCCATCAACGTCAAGAGATCCTGATTTTATACCGAGCACGTCATGCCACCAACCGCACAAAATAACACAGTCAGAATTAAATGATCTTGTAAGAGATTTAGAACTTCCAAAATGTAAGGCCGAGTTACTTGGATCAAGACTGCAGCAGTGGAACTTGTTAGAAGACGATGTTTCGGTATGTGTTTTTCGTAACCGCCACAAAGACTTAAAACCATTTTTCAATATGGAGAATAACTTGGTTTTCTGCAGTAACATTAACGGCTTACTGGCGGCTTTAAATATAAACTATAACCCAGAAGAATGGAGATTGTTTATAGATAGTGATAGTTCAACATTGAGTTTAAAGGCAGTGTTATTGCATATTGGAAATATTTTACCATCTCTTCCTGTAGGGTATGCAGTTCACATGAAAGAATCATATGACAATATCAAGTACCTATTGACATGCATAAAATACGATGGGCACCAATGGCATATTTGTGGCGATTTGAAAGTTGTTGCACTTTTACTTGGGCTGCAGCTAGGCTACACAAAGTTTTGCTGTTTTTTGTGTGAATGGGACAGTCGGGCAAAGGCACTTCATTACACCAGACAAAACTGGCCTGTTCGTCAATTCCTAGAGCCAGGTCAAAATAATGTACAGCATATGCCATTAGTAGATTCAAAAAAAATTTGATTACCACCACTGCATATCAAGTTGGGTATAATGAAAAACTTTGTCAAGGCATTAGACGACTAGGTGGAAGACTAAGTGAGGCAAAGGTTAAAGAAGGTATTTTTGTTGGGCCACAGATTCGAAATATTTTGAAAGATACACAGTTTGAAAACACTTTAACAGGTATTGAAAAAACTGATTGGAATGATTTCCGTCTGGTGGTCACTAATTTCTTGGGAAATAGAAAAGCTGACAACTATAAAACCCTTGTCAAAAATATGCTGACATCGTATCAAAAGGTAATATGTCTCTTAAGATACATTTCCTACACTCACACCTGGACTTTTTTCCTGACAATTGCGGAGCCGTAAGTGATGAGCACGGCGAACGTTTTCATCAGGATATTTCAACAATGGAAAAAAGTACCAGGGAAAGTGGAATCCTTCCATGCTTGCAGACTACTGTTGGACTCTTGGTAGAGATGCTCCAGAAACGATCCATAAAAGAACAGCAAAAAGACAGCGCATATAGTGATTCTTATAAGTATATGAATCTTGTTACTTTTTTTAATATATCCTTAAAAATAAAAAATTTGTTTTCTAAACCGCAACTAATTTTTTTATTTCATTATCATTTTTGGATTCAGCGCCCCAAAATTAACAAAGAAGTGCACTTTTCCCACAAGATACAATTAAAAAACTAAAATTTGTTGTCCAGTAATTACTGAGAAACAGGTTGTTGCCGCTTTGAAAAAGATTAACCCCAAGGTATCTTCCACTCCAGATCTAATCCCTGCATTTTTACTGAAACACTGTGCTTTTGTTTTAGCTGAGCCTTTAGCTTATCTGTAAACACATCCCTTAATACTACAACTTTTCCCATGGCTTGGAAAACATCTAGGATTGCTCCCATATTTAAAAAAGGCGAACGTTGTGTCATTGAGCATTATAGAGCTGTTGTGATTATAAGCAACGTTGGTAAGGTTTTCGAATGTATATTGCGTGATATAATTTTCTCCCGTGTTAAGCACGAAATTTCTGGTTTTTTCCAAGGCACATCTACTTTAACTAATCTAGCGTGTTTTAAATAGTTTTGCTCTGAAGTTGTTGATGAAGGGGGCAAGTAGATGTTGCTTACGTTGACTTTTCGAAGGCTTTTGATAAGCTAGATCACGGTATTTTGTTAAAGAAATTAGCTACACGAGGGTTTTCAAATCTTATCTTACAAACAGATGCCTGAAAGTCGAATACAGGGGCTTCACCTCCACTCAGATTATACCTTCTTCTGGCATACCTCAAGGGTCTGCTCTTGGCCCTCTGCTTTTCCAAATTTTCATTGATGGCGTCGTTAGGGAGCTACACAGTAGCTGCCTTCTATGTGCAGATGACTTGAAGGTTTTTTGTAAAATTGAAACCATGGACGGCTGTAATATATTGCAAAACGACTTGAGCAACCTAAATATGTAAGTGGTCTCACCGTAACAAGCTGTTGATAAATGCTACACTATGTCTATTACGCGCAAACTTGTTCCAATCAGATTCATATATAACACTGACAATTCGCAACTTAACATGTGTGAAGAGTTTCATGACTTAGGTATATCCTTTGATACCAAACTTACATTTGTTTCGCTTATTGATGCTGATGTTAACCAGGCCTATAAAAGTTTGGGCTTCATTATCAGAACTTGTAGGCATTTCAATAATGTTCATACCATGATCTCGTTATATAATTCATTCGTTCGATCAAAAATTGAATACTGCTCTATCATATGGTATCCTGTTCGTCGAATGAAATGGAACGTATTCAGAGGCGGTTTGTGAAATATTTGTGGCACAAAGAAGATGGTACGTTTCCCGTAGTTGGCTTCAGACATGATTTATGACTTCGCAGATATAACCTATGTAACTTGGAGAAACGCAGAAACTATGCTGCTTGTGTTTTTTTATATAAAATGCTTAATAATGCCATAGATTGTGAATATTTACTGGGTAAGATTCTTATTCATGTACCTAATGCTAAGACGCGATCCAATTTCAAATACTTTTACTTAAACGTAGCTAGAATGCGTTGCTTTCTTCTCCGATATATGTACTATGAACGTGCAATAAACGCTGTAGATTTGTTCTTTTGTAATTTGCGTAGCTTAAGAAGATTTTATATAACAGTAGGTTAAGTCATTTGGCAATTTTAAGTTATTTTAGACCAATTTTGTCTTGAAATTGATTCCTGTGTCTCTGTCCGTTAAATGGTGTAATAAACCGTTCGGATAGTGTATATACTAGAAGATAAATAAATAAACAAATGAAAGAAAAATAAGTAAAATCAAGGTTAACTGGTGAATTTAACCTTGACCGTGACAGAATCGTTCATTTTGAAGGACAATTGAAGATGAAAATGAGATATGAGGGATGTGCATGTCGTAACGTTGCACAAATATTAAAGATCCTCAAAAAGGTCGATATTATTCATTGTTTTGCCTGTACTGTTCAATTGGTTCAACTTCCTATACTTGGTGCCAAAATGAAAGATTCATAATGCACGCATGCCCGTTAGCAGTGGCGTACGATGCATTAGCTTCCGTTTTGGTACCCGACTATATACGATTCTGTTTGTCGCCAACAGGCATAAACTGTCGTAACTCACGGTGTACTAATGACTCTTTTCATAATGATTTCTTATAGAGTTGAATGACTGGAGGAGGATGTTTTGTTTTTTACTTACAATATTTGCGTACAATCCAAGAAGGTGATCCATTTCAGTTTTTATTCTTTCGCTACTTTCTAAAATAGCTTCTCTATGTTCATGGCTAGTATAGGCACTATCAGTGAAATCCTGAGTTCTTTCTAGGACAGCCTCTAAAGCGGCTGGAAGGGTTTCTTGGCAAGAAGGGTCTGGAAAATATGAATGCAAGTTACAGAATGTTGTCAACAAAATAGAGAGCACTTAAGTATGTGAATAAAAGTCCATATAAACATGCGTTTGGAGTCTCAGTCATATTGAATTTGCTCGAAAAGTGCATCTTGGTGTATTTCGATGAAGGCGAATGACAGCTCGATTGGTATTTTTTATTGACGATAAATAGATCGATGTACTGCCTAAAAAATAATTTTATTTATAAAACGGCCCAATCATTCCAATAGGCAATATTTAAGTACAATCAATCTTTTTTGTAAAAACGAGTGGTGTAGTTTTTTTTTCGCTAAATATAGCAGATACCTACCGCCACGAACGTCACTGATGTTAGTGCTCCAGAAAACAGTTTTGTACATATTATGTGATCTTTGCTAATACATTTTCCTGGCCCATATTTTGGTATCTGATTCTGTATTCGAGAAATATATACTGCGAAAGGTTGGGAAATCTTGGAACTGGAGATATACTACAGACCAAAATATGTGAAATGACCCAAACATACCTGAGTCCAAAAGTTGATAGTTTGCGAGATACAGGGTGTCAAAGTTTTTCTTTTCAATTTCCCTATTGCTTTAGAACTATTTCAGAATTTGGTATAAAAATTAGTATAGAGAGGCTTTTCTAATATGAGATACAAGAATCCGTTATTTTTTCTAGCCAAACTTCTAGAGGGCGCCACTTACAGCACTATTTTGGTAAATAACTTATCATAACTTTTTTGTGCTACCCTGTATCCAACAACTGATTGAAAAATCTTATTTTCTCGTATTTCCACAATAAAAAAGGTTTACTTGTTAGAAGTCTCTAAAGCTAATAGTTCTCGAGATATTTGTTTTTAAAAGTTCCAATGCATTATTTGTGCCAAGATGATACAAAATTTTTATAACATAATAATCAAGTTGCTTTGGATAATATCTCAGTAGCGTTGCTATGGTTTTTAATATACTAAGTGACATATAAATCCGAACACTCAGTTTAAATGGTTTTATTTTAATAAAATTTTGTATAACATAAGTACTTAATGAAGCATAATAAGTAAATGATAAAAATTTCAAAATGATTGCACTGCTTTAAAGCCGTTTGACCTTTAATAATGTGTGGATGCACCCTGATGTGCTACGCATTCTCCAACGCGCCTAGGCATGCTTCTGATCAGGTGGTCAATGTCCTCCTGTGGTATCTCATTCCAGGCAACCACCAACTCCTCTCGAAGTGCTTCTAGAGTCTGAGGAGGACGTTGCAAATTGAGCAATATCCTACCCATCATATCCCACACGTGCTCAATTGGGGATAAGTCGGGAGATCTTGGTGGCCATTGTAACAATGTGACATCATTATGTTGAAAGAAGTCTATTGTGACTCTTGCAACATGTGGTCGGGCATTATCTTGTTGGAAAGTTGGATCTGCCAGGGTGTCAAGATAGGGTAAAAGATGGGGTTCTAGAACTTTGTGGATATAACGCTGCGCGTTCATGTTACCTCTGATGAAGATTAAAGGTGACCTGGAACCATAAGCTACCCCAAACCATAACTCCAACAGTGTGATGAACATGTCTTTCAACAAAAAACTGTGGATTCCTCCTTTCATCACGTCGCCTTCTAACCCTGGCACGACCATCGTGCATGCCTAAACAAAATCGAGACTCGTCACTAAAGACAATACTGTTCCATTCCTGATCCCAGAGTGACCGTTGTTTGCACCACTCAAGGCGATTACGTCGGTGTTCTCGAGTTAAAGGGAGGACCCAGTGTGGCCGGTATGAAAACAAGCCAAAACTTCTCATTCGTCGGTAGACACTTCGCATGCCAATAGGTCTTCCGTGTTATGCAAACCATTCATTTGCAATGGACCTGGTAGTGGAGAAACGGTCCCTTAAGGCCAATAATCTTAGGCGGCGATCTTCACGGTGTGTTGTTCTACGGCGGCTTCCAGTGCCCCTTGCTCTTTGCGTACGGCCTTCTCGAAGCCATGCCTGACTACACCTAACCACAGTGCCTACACTTCTTTGCACTCTAACTGCAATTGCCCGAAAAGAAAGTCCAGCTTCCCGAAGTCCCACTATACGGCCCCTATCAAACTCACTAAGTTGACGAAATCGTACAGGTCTCCGTACTCTAGGCATCGTAACCGATCGTAAAGAATGTCAAGAACCAAAATCCGCCAACGTTGATTCTTTACTGCGGCTGAAATATTCATTTTTAGAGCGTTAGTGAATTAAAAAAAAGCAGTATAAAAACCGGAATGTCCAACTGATAAGGCTGAAAATTTTTTCACTCGTTATTTACAGTAAGATAAATACATTCACCAAGTTTTATTAAAATAAAACCATTTAAACTGGGTGTTCGGATTTATATGTCACTTAGTATATTTTTCATTTCCTGGCTATGGTGGAAAATTCTTTGTCGAAGATCATCTACAGTTTCCACTGGGGTATCGTAAACGCGTCGTTTTAAGTCACCCCAAAAGAAGAAATCCATAGGATTTAAATCTGGTGATCTAGCCGGCCACGGTACAGGGCCTGATCGGCCTATCCACTGGTCTGGATAGGTGCTCTCTAACTAATATTCTAAAATGAGGTGGAGCGCCGTCGTGCATAAACCATATATTTATGCGTGTTTGTAATGGAAGGTCCTCCAGCAGAGTGGGTAATTGTTCTTCAAGAAATTGTAAATACCTTTGGTCATTTAGTCTAGGTGGTAACTCAACGGGCCCTATTGAATATTGACCAATTATTCCTGCCCATAAATTAATTTGAAATTGTACTTGGTGGCGGGTTTGTATTATTGCATGAGGATTTTCATCTGCATAAATGTGAAGATTGTACGAGTTAATGGGCCCATCCCTACTAAATCCTGCTTCGTCCGAAAATAATATAAGCGAAGCAACGCCGTCGTGGTTTTACTTCCTGTACAAAATTCTACCCTTGCGGGGTCATCAGCCACGCTTAAACCATGTACTTTTTGCAGGTGGTATGGATGGAGCAGTTGCTCTTGAAAAATGGTATTTACTGTACTTTTATAAACTTGAAATTCTTGAACTACATTCCTAACCCCAACTGAAGGATTTTCAAATACATCATCTAAAACATTTTATTCAGCTTCAGCTGTACGTACAGTTCTGGGAGCTCCACTATGTCGGCCCATATTTTGAGCAAAACTACGTAAAATCCAAATGGTTTTTACTACTCAAAATAAGGCTATAATCATTTCCTACCAGTTTCTCGTAACCGCTGATCGATTCATTGTAATGTTTTTAAATTAGGCAGGTGTCTATTATAGAATCTGTCAGCGTACTGGCTTTTAAATCATTACATCTTACCTATCCGTACATTAAATGCATATCAGGATATTCATCAAACGTATACTCCATGATGTTTACCAACTCATTGTCAACTTAAAATTATTCATAAAGTTTAAATGACAAACATTATAAATCATAGCAACGCTACTCAGATATTATCCAAAGCAACTTGATTATTATGTTATAAAAATGTTTTATCATCATGATACAAATAATGCATTGGAACTCATAGTAGAAGACTTCCCTATGCCGAGTTTTATGTCAAAATCTGGAATACTTCTCCAGCAATAAGGAAAAATAGAAAATAACATTGTAACTTAGGTCAATTCACATATTTAGGTCTGTAGTATCTCCAGATTTTAACTTTTGCGACTTTTATTTGTTTTTACATGAATTCAAATTTGTTCTTGGTTAAATGCCTTCTTCACCTGAAGCTCACTCGTGCTCCCCGTAACACTCACCCATAGCCATCTTGGTATGTTCGAGCACCACCATCAACCTGCGCATGCAGGAGTAGGCCGTGCCGCGATCAGACTCAGTTTCCGGTGGTGGGGCACCATCGCCGTTGCTCAAAACCCCGTCTTTGACCACGTAATGAACCAGGTCCATGGCGCGACGCATCTGGCAGAAAACGGTGTCACGATTCTCGCGGGCTGACGCGCAATCCGGATGCCTCAGGCAAGTCTGGAACGAAAAGGGGAACATCATTTTTCTGTCGAAAAAGGCAGAAATGACAAAAGATTCCTCCACCGGTGAAGTTAGAACCCACGACTACCAACATTTTAACATACTATACATATACTAAGTGACATATAAATCCAAAAACCCAGTTTAAATGGTTTTATTTTAATAAAATTTTGTATAAGTACTTAATGAAGCATAATAATTAAATGATAATAATTTCAAAATGATTGCACTGCTTTAAAGCCCTTTGACCTTTAATAATGTGTGTATGCACCCTGATGTGCTACGCATTCTCCAACTCGCCTAGGCATGCTTCTGATCAGGTGGTCAATGTCCTCCTGTGGTATCTCATTCCAGGCAACCACCAACTCCTCTCGAAGTGCTTCTAGAGTCTGAGGAGGACGTTGCATATTGAGCAATCTCCTACCCATCATATCCCACACGTGCTCAATTGGGGATAAGTCGGGAGATCTTGGTGGCCATGGTAACAATGTGACATCATTATGTTGAAAGAAGTCTATTGTGACTCTTGCAACATGTGGTCGGGCATTATCTTGTTGGAAAGTTGGATCTGCCAGGGTGTCAAGATACGGTAAAAGATGGGGTTCTAGAACTTCGTGGATATAACGCTGCGCGTTCATGTTACCTCTGATGAAGATTAAGGGTGACCTGGAACCATAAGCTATAGCACCCCAAACCATAACTCCAACAGTGTGATGAACATGTCTTCCAACAAAAAACTGTGGATTCCTCCTTTCACCACGTCGCCTTCTAACCCTTACACCGACGTAATCGCCTTGAGTGGTGCAGACAACGGTCACTCTGGAATCAGGAATGGAACAGTATTGTCTTTAGTGACGAGTCTCGATTTTGTTTAGGCATGCAGGATGGTCGTGCCAGGGTTAGAAGGCGACGTGGTGAAAGGAAGAATCCACAGTTTTTTGTTGAAAGACATGTTCATCACACTGCTGGAGTTATGGTTTGGGGTGCTATAGCCTATGGTTCCAGGTCACCTTTAATCTTCATCAGAGGTAACATGAACGCGCAGCGTTATATCCACGAAGTTCTATAACCCCATCTTTTACCCTATCTTGACACCCTGGCAGATCCAACTTTCCAACAAGATAATGCCCGACCACATGTTGCAAGAGTCACAATAGACTTCTTTCAACATAATGATGTCACATTGTTACCATGGCCACCAAGATCTCTCGACTTATCCCCAATTGAGCACGTGTGGGATATGATGGGTAGGAGATTGTTCAATTTGCAACGTCCTCCTCAGACTCTAGAAGCACTTCGAGAGGAGTTGGTGGTTGCCTGGAATGAGATACCACAGGAGGACATTGACCACCTGATCAGAAGCATGCCTAGGTGCGTTGGAGAATGCGTAGCACATCAGGGTGCATCCACACATTATTAAAGGTCAAAGGGCTTTAAAGCAGTGCAATAATTTTGAAATTTTTATCATTTACTTATTATGCTTCATTAAGTACTTATACAAAATTTTATTAAAATAAAACCATTTAAACTGGGTGTTCAGATTTATATGTCACTTAGTATACATAGTTGCCTAGGAGATGTTGTTCAGAAGCCGGCAGAGTATTCGCCATGCAAAAAAGAGTGGTCAGGTTAATTATATTATTATATTATATGCAACGTTTCCTCGGGTTCATCTTTAAAAATAAAAAACATTTTTTTTTAGTATCGTCAAAACCGTCAACTGGAACGAACTGAAATTTGGTATGTGGATTTACCTAAGCATTGTCCATATTCAGTTGTCTTTACATAAAATTAACGTGCACCAGTAGCGGAGATACTGAGGATTAGTGGCATTATTTCTCCAAATGAAAATAGTACGCCACTGTTCTTCTTCGAAACGCGCAATTTTCCGAATTTCACCTTCAATTTCCTACAAAGAATTACTCTTGTGTTTTTTTTCCTTGAGCGTATTGTTTTCGTAAAAATAAAGAAATAAATTTAGACTTATGCTGCTTCTGTATAAAAAAATTGCACGACAAATATGAAGATGTAAAAATGATATGTAGTATTATTTGGGCTGTGCCAAAATTCGAGACAAGAACAATATCGAATCAGCTTGAGTATGCATTAATTCACCATCAGTTCCCCGGCATAATTTTATGAGCGGAATGAGGAGGGGACACGGTGCCAACATATCAAGATATCTTATAGGAACATCTTAACAGGAAAATATTATCTGGTATCAGATTGTACGATCTAAAATGATGTGCCTTGAACCTTGCCAGAGAGATAATATCAGCGATCGATCTTTCGCGTTAGACACATGAAATACGACGAGCAGATCGAAAAACCTTGTTCCCTATATGGATTTATGTACAAGGTGACCGGAAAAGGGTTTGACGTGGTCGAAAAATAAACCGCTATCACTCACATCGTCTTATAGACTTCTGAAGCTAGCTGGCCTCCTGATGAAGGTCAGGATATCCGATTATTCCATTATCGTCAAACTATATCGTGCTAGCTTTTAAGCTACGGAACAGAAGGAGCCTTTCTTCACTCTGATCAAAAAAGATGAAACGATTCTCTTTCTCTGTTCAACAGTTAGATCACCCGGCGCTTATCGGGACCTGCTCTAAACCTTCTGTCCTGCCTATAATTATTTGAGTTATGTCTCTACTTGCCCTCCCCAGTACTCTATAAGCCCGCTCCTCCAGGGCTGTGGTGACCTGATGTCTGCTATTACACAAACTAGGTTCAGTGCTGATAGCCTCTAGTACCCAGTCTACCAGCCCTCTCAGTACCCAGCAGTGAGAGAGTCTCTGAGCGGGGTCACTTCTTGAACAGTAACTAAGCGCCAAAGAGGAATAACCTTCCAGGACTAGAGTTGATCTTATCATGGGGGATGTCACTCCTTTCGGGGCTGCTTGATCGAGTGTACAAAAGGAAATTCTTTCGTAGGATTTACAAGGCACATTTTGCTACACACACGTCAGGATTTCATTTATTATGTTGGGAATGGTAACAGAAAGGTGCCCTACACCTGATTCCTACCCTAAAGCGGAAACCTGTCTTATTGGCTGAACATTCTGGTGTATATGTAAATGTTTTGATAGTGGAGAAATGTCTTGCAAAGTGCTAAAATTTTAATTATTATTCGTATACGTATACAGGGTGGCGCATCGAAAACGTAACAGTCACATTTACTGGCAGCTCAGCTTTTTTTTAAGCGCTCAGACCCGTCGATTTTGTTTTCGAGTGGGATACAAGTTTGACAGAAAATCACGTCAAAGTAATTTGAAGGCACTCATTCACAATTCTTTGTCGCAGGTCTTCTGATGATGTTGGCTGAGTAGCATAGATGTTGCTTTTTAAATGACCCCACATAAAGAAATCCAAAGGTGATAAATCTGGCGATCTTGGAGGTCATTCAATGGCACCTCTTCTACCAATCCATCGATCTGGAAACGTCTGATCTAAATATTGTCGAACACGTAATGCGTAATGTGGTGGGGCACCATCCTGTTGGAACATCAACCTATTCGCAATGTACCGTCGATCATTATGATTTTCAATTATGGCTGTTAATGCAGGATCTATGGCGTTTTCCAGTAATTCCAAATACATTTCACCGGTCATTTACTTATTAAGTAAATTCTTTTAGTCAAATATCATCTGAAAGTAGTACAAACTAATCTGATGTACCTATTAAAGTATAGTTTAAGCTTTAAATCAATAAATCTTCAAAACTACTGAACTGAAGCTCATGTATCTTACATCGTTATAAAGGGAATTGAAAGACCTTTAAAATAAGGTATCACTCGACCCCCCTTTCCATTTAAGATTTTAGGGTTGGTGTCACCCCCGCCCAGGGGGCTGCACGTGTTAACGTGATTTTCTGCCAAACTTGTGTCCCCCTCGAAAACAAAATCGACGGGTTTGAGCGTTTTTCCAAAAAAAAACTGAGCTACCAGTAAATGCGTCTGTTTCGTTTTCGATGCGCCACCCTGTATATTGTCGTGAATGGTAAGATACGAGGTCCCACTTCCTCATGAAATTGCTTCATTAGGATTGATTGAAATTTTATCGAAAAAACATTTTTCTAGCTTTTGACGTGCAAGTGAATGACATAACACATATACACAATAACAGGTCGGCAATTTTGTTTTTGGCTATGTCCTCCAAGCATTTTTGTGCGCAAATCAAAAGCTTTGAGTGATTTCTATTAGAAAAGGATTTATTGAACTGGGAAAACGTTCACCCCAAAATCCGTGAACAACGTTTTGTTTGCCCATGCTCGCTTTATTGGAGTAATAAAATCATAAGTAGCTATCCAGAGTGGATCATCTTTCGACCCTCAAGTCCGAATCTCTGCAATAAAATCTTCCCCCGGCCCATACGACCTTATATGTTAGATTTATAACAACAGTTCGTCTTTAATATTGTTTATTTTGCGCTGCTCTCACCACGTCTGGCACATCGCCCAGCTACTTCTAGATTAGCTGTAATCGGCTTATTTCTTTTTTCACCGTGGCCCTTGTAGTCCGGTTAAGATTTGTGACACAGATAACGAAATTAAGGGTTAGCTATAACCGAGGGGTGATGGTATGCCTATTATGTATGTATCGAAGAAAGAGACTAACCCAAAACAGTGATCATCGCGTGGTTATTGCGTGATCAGTACACTGATATATTTCAAGATAGAGGGAGCTTAATTGTTATTGGGCAGAATAGGTCGAGCCCTTACACAAAACCAATAACAAACCAGAGGGTGGAGTGGGAGACGATACGACCGTGCATGCAAGCTGTGCCGGTGGCTGGCCGTACAGTACAGAGTTGGCATCAGATGTATACTGGTATTAGTATTAGTAAAGTATATTCAGATAAGAGATAGACCGGATGTAAACAAAAGGTTCGGGTGATTTTCACGCTAACGCCGCCGTCTCGACGTAAAACAGGAGCCCTCATTGGTCAATTCGCAATTAAATGCCTATGCCGAGCGGCAGAGCAGTCGTATCAA